ACGTGTGACCGCCCCACAAAATTTGCTCCGGTGTAAAATATATCGCAACAAAATATTTCGGTGCAGCGTCGGACCAAATGTGTGCCGTGTGAACAGGGCTTTGGTCAAACTTCAACAAATAAGTCAGTATTTTTCTCAAACTAGAACAAAACAATCACTCATTATCATGCTCATGTCTAAGATATCTACTCGCGGAATCACACATTGCATATCTACGCCCATTCCTTCATTCCATTTGCATCACCAAGGTTCAGTAGCTCAACCAACGATGCACACTCAGTTGTTCTACCATAGTTTGAAGCGCGCGCGCGCGCGCGCACACACACACACACACACACACACACACACACACACACACACACACACACACACACTACTAACGTGGACAAAACATGGGCGGTTTCCAAGCTCCTTAAATAGAGGTCTTTTACGTAAAAGATGTCAGGTGACGAGAAATTTTGTGTTTTATTAAATAACATGTTTCCCATTATTTTTGAGTGGACAACGTGTGATCATACTTATACAAATTTTATTGAGACTTAATTAATGCTTAAAATGACCTGTGTCAAAAATAAAAATTAACAAAGTGGGTCTAATTTTATTCGTGTTACAAATCCGTATTCAGTGATATGCTCTTTCGATATGTGTGAGAATTATTTTTGTAACGTAATGTAACTTCATCATGTAATTTATGATCTCAGGCTTTGGACTGGTGTGATACTCGTTTGGTCACGGTGTGCATGTCTTATGTTGCTTTCAATACAAAATCTGTGACCCGTGCACGATGTCATGCGCGCATGCGCAGAACATCACCCATCTTTGATCACTACCCACGGCAACCACAGTAGGACACATTATATAATGGCAGTGCAAGCCACGCACTTTTGTAAAAAATGTTACAAGCTCAATTCCATGTTGTGTTAAAAATAAATTAAAAACAAATACGGTAATGGTAAATGGCACATTTTTGTGAAAAATGTTTAATCAAAACACTTGAAAGCCACTATGGTAGAGTATAAAGCTGAAATCTGGATTCAATGGATAAGGAAACCTTGATCACTTTTTGCTGTTTACGTCTGTAAGAGAGCAATAAATGCCTGACAGTGTTCTCTATTGTTGGCATTGTTGACCCTACACCCTGTTTTCATGTAAGCATAAACATTTATGTTCGAAAAATAATTTATTAGTTTTATACCTTTCTCTTTCAATTTGCCTTTTTTTGTGTGTCAATAGGCGAGTCTGGTCTTGGAAAATCAACACTTATTAACTCCCTCTTTCTGACTGACCTTTACTCCAAGGACTACCCTGGGCCATCACAGCGCATTAAGAAGACTGTACAGGTGAGTGGAAGCAATCTTTAGGCCCCCATTGCATCTGACTGGTACTATCTATTAGGGTTGCACAATATACCGGAAAAAAATATTGTCATTGCAAATTTGCAATAATGGCCCGTGCAATATGCAGATCGCAAAGACATGCACTAAGTTTCACCGAGGTGACAACTGTTATGGACCGTCCGTATTTTGTGAGGGAAATAACTGAAGGCTAACCTGTTAGGCCCTTACAATGATTCCTGCAAATATATATAAAAAAAAAATGCTGGGTCGCATAATTGCACAAACAGTGTAATAACGAGCAAAGAAAAAATATTCACAGATAATTGCGGTGTGTTTGATTACACACCAATTGCGGACATGACGTCGTGCTCATGCATTCGGAGTGGAAGCTGTCTGACGAGTCCGACATGAGGCATAAGTTAACGATTTGAGATTGACCCCAATTATCTCAAACCTGAATAGATTAATATCAGTGGTGAGGAACGAGGTCAGCGACACACTGTGAAGCTTCTTCGCTAGGTTATTATGTTTAATAGGGCTGAGACAACACCTGTGTGCTAATGCAAACTTTAATTTATCACAGAATAACAATTGCCATCACATTTTATGGCACCTGTGTCTTCACTGTTGTAATACTTATTGATACATGCAGGCTCGTACAAGCGTAGATTATTGTGAGTGAAATTTTGTCCGATACACCTATCTCTCTCTCTCTCTCTCTCTCTCTCTCTCTCTCTCTCTCGCTCTCTCTTTACTTAATGCTACATACTACACACGTGTATAAGATGTATAAGTTAGGTTAGGCTAGTGTATAAATAACAAAATACAGTAAAAATATACATGTCAAGTACAACTTTATTGTCAAATGTGCTGTACAGAACAGATGAAATTTCTTCCCTCACAACATAAAACAAGAGGAGCAGCTGCGGGTGTCCGCGCCGCCATCAAAAGAAAAGTTAAAAATAAATTACAAAATAATACAAGACAACACATGAGACACAGACAATCATGCAAGCTTAACCACTTTCCTGCATACACTCGTTGTCTGAAGCAGTTATAGATGAAAGAGGAGTGAATCAGAGTGTCCTTTTCACCAGTGGATCAAAGACGTCATGCTGCAATGTGCACACATCTGTTACAAGCTAAGCTTGAAAGCAACAAGAAGCTGTAGCATCCATTAACGAAAAAGAGATTGGCTCTCTTCTCCTGTCCCATGTAAATCCGCTTCAATTCCAAGCCGCGACTCCAAGTTCCACATACACATTGGCACTCTGCACTGACGCTCCTTTCTTCTCATCGTCGGCTTCTCAAGCCATGCATTCATTCAATCGCAGACCGTCCATCAGCACCGACCTTTTCGCTAAACAAAGTGGGGCTGTGAAAATGCTGCCTATTTCAAGCGCAAGACACAAGCACCCCGGAGCTGTCCAGCAATGACAGTCAAATGGCACCGACATTCCTGCCAATCAAAAACAATGCTGGTACACGCGTGCCGCCGAGAAGTCGCAACCACCAAGCACACATTCTTCTTCTTTGACGAATGTCGTGGCCAAAAATGCTGAAAACAGTCCACATCAGGTCTACACGACGTAACAACAACACCATATGACAAAACAAGAGACAAAAACAACAAAAAACGCAAGGCTCTTGAATAGCACTTGCTGACGTTCAGTGCGAGGCTATCCTGTTCGGTGATTTCGCATGTTTCATTGTTTTTTTATTTTGTTGTTAGTTTTTTTTCCCCATCTTTTTATGACCGCTAACCCAAGATGGCTGCGTGCAGGGTTATGTTGCCGCGTTATGGCATGTGCGTCATTCCCTTCCAGCAATGTGGCGGCCAGTCACATTGCAGTGGGCCAGGTCCAACCTCATAAATTTTTTTTTTTTTTGCCTTGGAGGCTCCTCCATTTGGATTCATAACAGTAGCGTCAGCATTATAAGCCCTAATGAGCCTTTATACTGTATATGTGCACAAGATCTCTGCTGGTGGTTTAACATGAGGATATTCGATGCTAGCATGCATGTAATCGGCCCCCATCGTTTAAAAACTGGGAGGCATATGAACTAAACTGTTATAATTCCTTCAGCGGTTACCTGATTTTCATGTGCCGTAAATCCCCTCAATTAAATATGAAAGTCTGCAATTGAAGCACATCTTGTTTGTTTTATTTGAAACCCAGTGTGGTGAAGTTTAGAGTCATAAAGAAGACAGTCGTGTTCATTTCCCGTGAATAAAGACCTGAAGAAGTAACGTACTTCATGCATCATCTGAGCTCATTCATGCATAATTATTAATGCATTAAGTAGAGTCATACAACACATATTCATTACTCAGTCTGGATTAGATATGAATTATGACACATCTTAGTCTATTATTCATCATTTACTTTGAAATAACGTGAGCTTTTATTTCGCCGAGTAATTTGAGCAGCGTTTTCCAACCTGTGGAGCCAAGGCAAATATTTCGTGTCAGAAAAACCTCATGGTAAACCACCAAACAGTAATAACAAAAAGTATGCATACTGAAATAATGACATAATGTCTCAGTTCTAACAACAAGGCGTATGTTGGAATACTTATGATTGTATTTTTGTCGATGTTTTATGTTTTGTCTTCTGTATTGTTGTGATTTTATGTTAAATGTTCTTGAAAACGCTTCGTTACAGCTGCAGCTGTTCTGAAGCACTATATAAGTAAAAATGTCTTGTATTTAGACACAAGTTCTGAAGCACTATATAAGTAAAAATGTCTCTTATTTAGACACAAATGTATTAAGTCAGTGTGAAATTTAAGCTTGTATAGTTGAACACAAAGCTGATGTATTTGCAGTGAAGCGTGACTGATTCCGTTGTCTGAACGGCCACAGATGGATAAACGGGTTGGGTACCTTTTGCCAGACAAGTGAACACGTTTAACAGTTCTGCTCTTCTCTATATCTTAATAGAACAACCCATTTCAATACTTACTTTGTGAAAGATACTTAAATTCCATGGCCATTCAAGGCCACATTATTTGGACCATGTCACACTAAAAATACTCAGGGTGAAAAGAGGGAGAAGAATCTGAAGAAGACCTGAGTTAGAGCAGCAGCAGCAGCAGCAAAAGAAGGAAAGAAAGACATAGTATGGCACCTCAGGGAAACTTCCTTACACAGGGCCTTCTTTTTTCCTTGTATGGTTATGTTTTAACAGAGCAGGAGAGAGGCAGGCATCTGGTGTAGCAGTGTCGAAAGCAAGGGAGCGATTCAGGAAACAAATGACCGAAAGCGGGGCGGGGAAGAGAAGAAAAATGTTAAGTTGGGTTTCCTTTCCTAGGTTGTCTTTTCTTGACTCGGAGGAGTAAAAATCCTCCATGGTCACAGACAGACCATGACTGCTGTCAGTGAGAGAATTTTGTAGCCAGCCATTGTTTATACACAGAAACAAACACAGTACATTGGATGCTTTGAATATGCAAATTTTTCATCCTCTAAGCATTAGCTCGACTTATTTCCATCAATGGCTATAATATTGGAAAGGATTTTAGAGATAGATTTTTTTTTTCACAATTTCACCATTTAAAAAAGTTCCCAAGTGCCCTCCTAATAGCATGTCTATGGCATGTTTTTGTTACCCAAGTTACAGCAACTGTAAGCACATGTTTTTATAAGATCTCTTGCCAGTGTTAAATTAGCTAATTTTAATAGTGGATCATTCTCATGGAGTAAAAGAGCCATCACCCAGCCGCATATGCTGTGTCGGGCCAATGGCGGGCCGATTTTTTGTTAAAATGACTCCCAGTAGGCTGGATCTCAACAGGACATTCCTGCCACTGTTTGGATGTCTTCTCTGACCAACTACTTGCTTTTACCAGCGGAAGCAGAGCCCGTTGTGTGGAAAGCAAGTGCCATTAGTTTAAAGTCCAAAGCATTTTAGCTTACGGGTGCAGAGTTAAATGTGCACAGCAAGTGGGTCATAACATTGGCAAACACCAAGCATCTACCGCCCTTGGACTCCTTGAATGGAGCAATCAAGAAAGTGACACTAACACATAATACTGATCTGTGCATCGAACACAACACTCAATGTAGCTCTGTTTAACTTGTGTGAAGCCACTGCTGGCTTATTTAACCATATAAATCCCCACCATCACCGTCGTCACGCACGCACCTAATGTTTTTCTTTCGTTATCATTTAGCCTCACTGTTTCCCTCAGCCTGCTGCACACTGGTAAACAAAAAATAGGGATGTTCGAAACCACTTTTTTATCAACTTTTGAGTACTCACCATTACCGATGCAAGTAACCGATACCACTGCACAAGTACAAAATATTTTTAAAACATACAATTTCTATTAAACTAGGGACAGATGATTTTAAAGATTTCTTTTATTTTTGACTAAAGGCAGAATAAGTCCAAAATAAAGCACAAACAACTCTCTTGAGTTTAGGGTTCATTGTTAATACATGAACTAAAGTGCAAAATAAAATTAACAACTCCCTGAGTTTTAGTATTTGTTCAAGAGCAATCGATTTGCAAAATAAAACCAGTTCAGCTGTTAACTGTTAAGCATGACACTGTGAAGTTTAAAAATAGAGCAGGGAGATATGGCTGAAAATTTTTCACAATTTCCATGTTTTCATATCAGCTGACATTTTTTAAAACTATTTAAAATGAGAACAAAATGTTGAATAGATTCAAGATAAAATACAGCTATCCACAGGCAAAATACTTACTCAGTCTGGATTAGATATGAATTATGACACATTTTAGTCTATTATTCATCATTTACTTTGAAATAACTTGAGCTTTTATTTCGCCGAGTAATTTGAGCAGAGTTTTCCAACCTGTGGAGCCAAGGCAAATATTTTGTCAGAAAAACCTCATGGTAAACCACCAAACAGTAATAACAAAAAGTATGCATACTGAAATAATGACATAATGTCTCAGTTCTAACAACAAGGCGTATGTTGGAATACTTATGATTGTATTTTTGTCGATGTTTTATGTTTTGTCTTCTGTATT